GTATGCAGAAAATAGCCTAGAGCTTCAACATTTTAGGGTATTTAAGTGAAAAACCACAAAACCCCTCTCCAAGCTGATGCAAGCAAGCGGGGTACAGAAGCTGAATCGAGAAGTTAGCAAAAACAATGCAATGGGTACATTGGTATTTCCCATGGGACTTTTCCAGGTTGGCATAGCAGCAAGCAAGCAGAAGGGAAGTGGGTCACAATGACCCTGATTGAGTACAAGTTAGAGAATGGTTACTAACATCCAGACAATCAATCTCTGACAGGGTACATTGCCCAAGAAAAATGAGAACCAAAGAGAGAAAAATTTTACATTGTATAAGAATTGCCATTTTGTGTTGCCAAGTATGCTGTGCTAGGTAACCATCAATGGGCACAGAGACAGGTTTTTCCCATGGGAGAATCATTCTTATATGATATGGAGTCTCAGGGTAACATAGAGTCTGTTTGGTCATTGCCCGTATAGCCTGCTGCATAACAATATCACTGTGGTTCCACCAGGTAAGAAGCTGTGTGTCCTCACTTGCCTTCAGAATATTCCAGTAAGAAATGTCATTTCTTGCAGCAGTTTAGCCTTTCAATGTTGGTGGAAGGTGATGTGATACAATTACACCTTCATTCCGCTATGTAGCAGGGACAGTGTTTGTGTGTCCTAGAGGGCTACATCTGTTTCATAGGGCTGTCATAAGACACTGCCACAATTATGGGCTTCAGGACAATAATTTATTTTATCCTAATTCCAGAGGCTATACATCAACATCCTTGTTGGAATGATTTCTTTTGAGGCCCACACTTTGACATGTAGATTGCCATCTTCTGTCTCTGTTTGCACACATTTTTCTATGCTTATCCATGTCCTTATTTTCACTTCTTATAAGTGGGCCAAATGGCTTTATGGATTAGGCCCCACACCAAATAACTGGACTAACAATAATTATGTCTTTAAGCAACATATGTGCAAATAGAGTCACAGTCTGAGGTACTGGGTAGTTAGAACATCAACATGGGATTTGGGGAGGGGATACAATTTATCTGATAACAAACTGGTTTCCTAATGAGGATAGAATTTGAGGAAATGGAATACTGATTGAAAGAACATGCACATGTAACATTGCAGTAGCTACAGGCAGAGCATGATCACATTGAAGCTGCAGCTCTTAGACTGCCACCAGAAATCTCTGACTGTAGCCGCTTCTCTGAAGCCAGTATTTTCTGGGTATTGACATAGTTTTTATTTTGGCTGTTCTGTCATCCTTGTGGCAAATAAAATAACAATGTTTCATTAATTTCCAATTTCCCAGCTGATCAGCTTGAGTCATCTTTCAGTTGACTCTCAGCCATTTAGGTTTGTTATTCCCTTAGTCAAATTCTGGGCCCTATGATGTGCTCTGTTGCACCTGTAGTTTCCAAGCATTTGCCCCTAGGAGGAACCTGGGTTGACAGCTGTGTTTCTAAAGACCTCCCTTAACAACAACAACAACAACAAAAAGACAAGAAATTGTGTCAAAAAGTCCTCCTGGAATGTTTTCTCTAGGTGCTCACTTCAAAATATGGAGGAGAGAGTGTTAAGGTCTGTAAACAAGTCTGGATGGCACCTGGCATTTTGCCAGAGGGAGTGGTTTGTGAAGTAACACCAGCGAGCCATTAAGTGTGGAGATTCCTTATTGGTTGACTGCTGTATCTAGTTTATGTTAATTAAGATAAGCTGTGTGGAATGAATATATATGCCTCCTGTCCTACAATAAACGGCTCCCACTCCTGCTGTATCAATGTACTCAAGTTGTTCGTCACCCCCCAGCTATTTTGCCCAGCCAGCCGGGCTGCGGCAAGAGAGGTTTTCTCCCAACAGGAGCAGGTTTGAAGGAATTTCATACAGTCCTGTCTGGGCAGTTCTCAGTTGGGATGCATACTGCCCAGAAGCCATTTGATATGTAGAAGCATATGTTTTCCCTGTATTGAGGATGTTCTTGGAGGACTTAGTCAGATGAAGATCCTCATGGAGACTATTAAACACATATGTGCTATGGCTCCATCACGGACAAAACCCTGGAAGACACCTTGTAGATAATAATTGTTTCACCACTATCTGCCACTCACACCAGTTTTCTTTTGCAAGCTTACTATAACCTTTTCTTAATAGGGACTAATGCCATCCACATGCCCAAATACAACATGTTGAATTTTCCTTGTCTGAACTCCAAATACTAATATCAGATAATTCATAGCACTGCCAATAATCACAGGTCCCCTTGCCCTCCTCTTATTCTATGCCTATAATAAAGAAGATCTTTGCTGCATTTCTCTACAGCTCATGTCCATCTATGTTTTGAAATCATAGGACTTGGTGGTCCTTTACATCCCGCTAGAGTAGCCTATTGAATAATTCATAAACCCTGATTTAATCTACCACAATTTCAAAATCAACCTATATTTTTATTTGTAAAGGGGAATTGATATTAATTCTAGCTGGTGTTTGCCCTTTATGTAAGCTGAACCAAGATTCCCTGGATCCTGGAATTGGAGTCTCATAATGACTCAGATATATGAGAAAGTTCTCTTTGTGTTTTGATATGTAATACATAGTACATATACATATAATCACAAATGCTGCTTTTTTTTATATACATATAATCACAAATGCTGCTTTTTTTAAAAAAAAAAAAAGGTTGTCATATTCCAAGTCTGATGAGAATTAGAAATGTTGCATGAGTTCTTTTTTCTGGTGGAGGAGTTTTGGATTTGGAATAAGGTACAGCTCATGCTGAGTCCCAGTCCAGCTAATTAGCTGTGGGGCTTTGACCACAGGATGAAACAGACATCATAGCCTGGCCATTAGGTCTAAGGCCAAATTGTCAAATAAGAAGTATTCATTTCATGTTTGAAACAATAGAGTCAAGCCTGTGGACAGATCTGAAGACATGTGTCCCCCACTTCCTGGGACCCCATTTTCCTTTGTTGTCTGTCTGATAGCTGCAATAGGAATGGAGCTGTGACAACCTTCCAGTGGGAAAGAGTGACCTGCTGTGGACACTTCCCTGTCCTCACTCAGGCACTGTCTCACTGGGATATTGGGTCTGAGGAGAAATATTATTAAGGAACTGTGTCCATCACTTATGGCATAAAAAATAGGGGACCTGGACTGGGGTTGTAGCTCAGTAGTAGCTTACTCGCCTAGCACATGTGAGGCACTGGACTCGATCCTCAGCACCACATTAAAAAAAAAAGATGAAATAAAGATTGTGTTTCCACCTACAACTAAAAAATAAATTTAAAAAAAAAAAGGGACGAGGCTCTTTGTTTCAGAGGACAGGGGACCTATAATAGTCAAATCTGAATGTGTTTGCTGCAATATAGCATTACAATCAGGAAAATTTAATGAAATTGAACAGTAATTGTCATTATATTATTTCCACTTGTGAATACTATGCAGACATATAATTCATAAGTTGAAATCACCTTGTATTCGAACTTCATCGCACATGTTCCCTGCGGGGTTAAATCAGTCTTCTAAGAGGAAACTTTGCCTTCAATTAGTTGTAGCCTGAGGCTCTCTTGTCCAATATGAGATATCCTGGAAGGGTTAAACCCAGTGAGTTTTGGGATATAGTTCCAAAAATACATAAGCTTCATTAGTAATTTTATACATGTGACATTGATGTAGGACAGTTGAGGTCAGACTCCCAAGGAATTTGTAGGAAGCAGATTTATTTAAGCTTTAGTTGTCCAGAGGAGCTAAGGATGAAAAATCTCTTGATCTAGGGAAATAAAGTGAAATTTATCCTCCCGTGGGTGTTTACATAACAGTTACTCTCTTTCTGATATTTTTAGCACAGGGGTTTTACAGGTTTTTCCCAAGAAAAACAATAACTTTTGTTCAGCAAGCTCTCTTGAAACAGAGTCTGTTACAACATTTGTCTGTAAACCTGGCATTTACAAGAAAGAGGAAACTTCAAACCACAGTGAGATCTCTGCAGAAAAAAAAAAAAAATCCTGCCCACATTCTTTTGGGGCTACATGAACATAATGAAAATAATCTGGATAATATTCTGGATATATTCGTTTATGACATTACAATCAATTACCCTCTCTCTTTTAAATTTTTAAAGTGAATATTAGAAAATTTTAAGTTACCCTTGTGCTTCACATATGTTTTTCATTGGACATTGCTGCCTTAGGGGATTGCTTTCCAGGCCAATCTGCAGACTCACACGACAAGAGAGCAGGAAAGTTAAATGAAATTGCACAGTAATTGTCATTTTATTATTTCCACTCGTGAATACTATGCAGACATATAATTCATAAGTTGAAGTCACCTTGTATGCGAGGTTCATCGCACATGTTCCCTGGCGGTGCTAGATCACTCTTCTAAGAGGAAATTTTGCCTTGATTAGTTGTAGCCTGAGGCCCTCTTGTCCAATTCGCAGTCCTCAAGAGTGTGATCTCAAGCCAAAGTAATTCCATTTTGTTTAATAACTCCATTTTGTAAAACAGCCGTGCCACATAGGGGCAAGTTGTTTTTCCTTTTCTTGTAGAGACCCTCAAGAACATGGAACTAAGGGGGCTTTGTTTCCGTAACTGGGGTGCCTGGGCTAATTGTAATTGGCTAACCTTCCCGCCGCCTGACTGCAATCTACCGCTTCTGTAACTTGGCTTGCTTGCTTTGGCCAAACCCCCTAACGTCCCTCTCGTGGTTTTTAAGCTTAAAAGGAGCGTCCTTGAAATTGTCCTTGCAATTGTTCGGGGATCCGGAGCAGACTATGTTCCCGGTCAGTGAGTGGCAGGTGTGCTTCAAGGCTTGATTCGATAATACGTGAGTTGTCTGGAAGACAATTTAAGAAGTCCCGACGTTGCTTTAACTACAAGAAAAAAAAAAAAAAAAGTTGTCACCAGGAACCTGTCATTCTGGCCTCACTGATTCCTGGGTTGGATGTCGTCTACTGTCACTCAGAAAGAAGGCTCTCTGGGCTCAGCCTGCGGGGCGGGTCTGCAGCCGGTGCAGCGGAGAGCACTTGGGGAGAACCGTCCAATCCCGACTCAGCCAGCGAGTACAAGGGCGGCTTCTGTGATCTGGCCCGGCCCTTTCCTTCTGAGCCGCCCTTCTCGCTATCCGGCTCTAGGCTTCTGTCGCCAGCCCTGGGGTCCCAGGTGGCTTTGCCCTGCAGGTGCTGGGGATCCCTGGTGGCCGCCTGACTCCCGAGCGCAAGGAAATGGTGAGTGTGGCGGGGCCTCTTGAGCCCGGGGAGGGAGGTCGTTGGAACCGCGGGACTGGCTACGGTGGGGCCAGGAGCTGCTGGGGACTCCGGGGTCCGCAGCCTGAGCCCTCCTCCTGGCAGCTTCCCCTCAGGCCCCTGGCCAGCCAGGTGGGGAGCGTGTCGGCAGCAGAGCTCCTGCCCAGCCTGCTGCACCGGCTCAGCTAGCCCTAGAGAGTCAGCAGCCCCGTCTTCCCAGGTGGATGGTGATTGACAGGTGGGCGGCGGTCAGAGAAGTCTCTCCACATGGGATTTTCCTGCAGGAGAGGAGCAGTGGCTCTGGGCCTCGCTGCCGCCGTCCTCCTAAGCTAGCTGGCTTTCTTGCTTTTTCTCCCTCCTCCCCAACCTTCCTTCCGCAGGGTGCTTTACCAGGAGCTGCATCCCTGGTTCTGAGGTAGGGCGGAGGGGGCGGCACCTGAGGAATTCGCGGGCAGCAGGTTTACTTAAGTTGCAGCGGTCCAGATGGAGCAACGCGGGGACCCTGGTAGGGAACTTCTCTGAGATTTATAGTCAGTGCGTGGTTACAGGGCAGCTACTTTTTTTTCCCCATAATTTTAGGATATAGAGAGGTTTCACAGGTTATTATTTTACCAAGGAAAACAAAAATAATAACATGTACAGCAAGCTCTCTTGAGACAGAGTTTGTTACATTTGTCTCCAAACTGGCCTTTTATAAGAAAGAGAAAGTTCAAACCACAGTGAGCGCTCTGGGGGAAAAAAAATCCTGCTGACATTCTTTGTAACGATCTTGCTGACAAGAAGAGAAGCTTACTGTTGATAGTGGTTCTTTGGGGGCGACATCAGAATTTTTTATTTTGAGAAAAGTTGCTGAGACTGGCCTAGATATGTTTGGATTTACAAAGACTGTTCTATTGAATTTAAGAATATAATTTTCAGCCAGGCACATGGTGCACACCTATACTCCCAGCGGCTCAGGAGGATAAGGCAGGAGGATCAGGAGTTAAAAGCCACCCTCAGAAACTTAATGAGGCCCTAAGCAACTCTGTGAGACCCTATTTCTAAATAAAAGAGGCTGGGGATGTGGCTCTGTAGTTAAGTGCCCTGGGTTTAAACCCCAGTACAGCAAGAAAAAAAGAATACAATTATATGGATTCTTCTATGGATTTTTTAATGTTGTAATTCCTTGATCATTATGGTAGTATTATTGTTTCATAATATACACTATCTCATAATGATAGCTACTCCTTTTGCTTTAATAATTTAAAAGTTTCTTGGCTAAATGAACATATATTTAACTTATGGATAAATTTTAGAAACTTATTCTTTGGTTCCTTATTCCATTACAAATAAAGCATGCTGAATATTTTTATTAGTGCATTATATTCATACATAATGTTGGGGTTCATTTGACATAATCATAGAAGCATGGGTATAATTTGCTCCATTTTAGTGGTACTTCCCCTTTCCCTCTCCTCCTAGCTCCTCATTCCCCATCCTCTCCTGGTCTTCCTTCTGTTTATTTATAGTTTTAAACTACTGGTTTATAGATAAACATAATGGTGAAATTTACTGTGATATATTCATATATGTTCAGAGCAGTTTTGATGGGATAATATAGATAAGTGTGGAGAAAATGGTCATTGTTGTAATGATGACTTTTGTCACTGGTACATGGTGTGTGTAATTGAGTCTTTTATGGACTTTGGTATATTTTAGTTTCTCATAAATCCTACACATTTCTCTTAACAAACATGTTCCCATGTGAGATACAACATTTATGTGAATCTGTATGAAACTCACGTGGTGTTGGGCTTGGTGGCCCTGAGTCTGTTACAACAGTCTGTAATCCCAGTGGCTCAGGAGGCTGAGACAGGAGCATCCTGAGATCCATCAACCTCAGCAACTTAGCAAGGCCCTAAGCAACTCAGTGAGACCCTGTGTCTAAAAAAAAAAAAAAAAAAAAAAAAAAAAAAAAGATGGGAATGTGGCTCAGAAGTTAAGTGGCCATGAGTTCAATCCCTGGTACCAAAAACAAACAAACAAACAAACAAACCAAAAACCCAAAACAAAACAAACAAAAAGTCTCATGGTGTAAATTTGTGTGTGTCAAAATGACTTTCCCCCATGTAGACTTTGTCACTGGGTTCTCATCCCTCTCGCTGATATTTTCTTGGTCCTGTGTTTCAGAACTGCTTGATGTGGGATCCCACAGCTGGCCTAAATTCTCCTGGAGTGTCTCATGAACATCAGTACCTGGGTCTTATCCTGTTAGAGAGCTGATGAATTTAGGGGTGTAGTCTCTCAGGAGTAGCTGAGTGTCCTGCAGGTGAGAGGAATCTCCTGGTGCACCCTTTATCTAAAAAGCACTTATTTCCTTATCTTGGCTACTGTGTATACTGCCAAGTGAAGATAAGTATGAAGTCATTTATTAACAGGGGGATTCCAGTTCCTTTGGCTGTATACCCAGAATTATTTTCACTGCATCATATAGTAGTTCTATATTTAGTTTTGAAACAACTTTCATGCTATTTATAAAAAATATTCTGTACCAAATTTATATGTTACCAACCATGTAAAAGAGGTTCTTTCTTCCATTTCCATAAGATCAGAGCCCTCATTACCTTTTCAGATTTGCTTAGGCTGCACGAGTTCTTAAATTTGACTGGTGCACTAAATTCCTGTTGCAAGCTTGCTAGAATTCAAGCTGCCCAGTAGCCACTGGGAAAAGGAGCCGTGAACCTCTTCTAGAAATAAAGGGAATAAGCAGAGATTGTAGGTGGGCATGGAGGTGCATGCCTGTAATCCCATCATCTGGAGAGGCAAAAGCAGGAGGATTGCAAGTTCAAAGCCAGACTCAGCCACTTAGCAAGCACTTAGCAAGGCGCTAAGCTGCTAAACATGACTCTGCACCCCCCTCCCCCCGCAAAAAAAAAAAGAGTAATAAAAGGGCCAGGGATGTGATGCAGTTGTAATATGCCCAAGGGTTCAATCCCTGGTACAAAATAACAACCATAACACACAAGCAAAACTGGGATCTGTGGTTTTTAACTTCTTTTCTTCACTTCTTGTGGGGACTGTAGCATACAGAAGTGCTTGCACACCAATGTGAAGCTCCTCCTCTGTGATCTGGGGAGATACACATATGCACAATTGCCATTTCTCCTAGGGTTTGGGGTTTGGGGATGCAGTCTGTTGAGTGGAATGAGTTAAAGTTGGGACATTTAAATTTTGCATACTCAAATTCCTTAGAGAAAGAATTGGCAGGCCAGGTTCCTACTAAGGTGCTGGGGAGCAGGGGAGGCTCAGGAAGTGCTGTACTCCCACTTGGGCTTCCTGTGGTGGACTGTGTTTCCCTGTTAACTCTGGTGCTGGCCACATAGAAGCTCAGCTGTTAACAACAGCAATTTGCAGAGTTTGCTGGAAAATCCCTTCTAGGGATAAACTGAGACCCTGAGATTCAACTCTTCCTTTGTCCTTGTCCCAGGGAAGAAGCCCAGGAATTATGCACAGCCATGGAAAACCACTAGTTTGTCCTCTGGTCTTGATACTGGTGTATTTCTAGTCCCTTCCTCCCTGTGCACCAGATAAATTCAGGCCCAACTACAGGCAATTTAGTTAAATATGCTATATTTATGACCCAAATCTTCTCAAGGTGATACTGGATTTGGGGTATCCTGTCCCAACTATATAGGCTCATTGCTCAAGGCATGAGTAATGCCCAAGTGTACCCCAACTTTTCCTACTCATTTGATGGTAGGTGTTTTCTCAGTTGTCCATTGTATAGAAGTTTCTCAACTCATTTAGGAGTCTGTTTAAGAGGGACTCAAAACAGGAGCAGATGTTTGTTGGATGTATCATGAAGGGAAAGTCATCAGCCCCCTAGTCTGTTCCATTTGGAATATCAACCCCCTTAACCTCTGCTTCTGGGGGAGTACTGTGCTGTAACCTCAGAGCCATACCCATGCTGCGCAACTCTTCCAGTGATCTGTGCCTCCAGTTCTAACATCTACCTTTAGGTTGCATTGTATCATTCATCACATTAAATATGTTTATTTATTTTTTTTTATTTCTTACATACATGAAAATAGTTTGACATATATGTGGAATTTTCTGTATTGTGAATCCTGGGTCTTTATTTTTATAATAATAGTTCAATCATATACATTAGTGTCAGGAAATGATACCTGCTGCTTTTGCACGATAAAATTTTGATTGGAGGGGCTGGAGATGTGGCTCAAGTGGTAGCGCTCTCACCTGGCATGCATGCGGCCCGGGTTCGATCCTCAGCACCACACACAAAGATGTTGTATCTGCCGAAAACTAAAAAATAAATCTTAAAATTCTCTCTCTCTCTCTCTCTCAAAAAAAATTTTTTTGGAGGGGATGTTATTCCAGATTAACTTGGGGGAACTGATCACCTTGGTAATGAAGACATTTGTCATCTACACATAGGGTGTGTAATTGAGTCTTTTATGTTCTGTGTATTTTATTTTCTCATAAATTGTCCCTATTTCTTTTAAAAATATGCAATATTTGTTTGACATTTATGGAAAACCAACATGTTGTACACTATTACAATAATTGTATGTACTATGACATAAATGTGTCTGGCTCCTAGAAACCATTATTTCCCACAGTTTGTTGTTCCTCTTCCTGAGTGTGCAGGCTCCTTAGGCACACCCCTGGGCCTCAGGTCTTTGGGCAATACAGCTGTGTCCTTCTATGTCATTAGGGTTCACATCTGCTGCCATTTCTAGGAGCCTCTGTTTCTGGTGGGGGAATATCATGTATCTTTAGTAGCAAAAATAGTTTCCACAGATAGATAATGACAACTTAAACTCCACCTTCACTTCATGAACATTCATTTACTCCATATGTTCTTCAATACTATTTAGTTTTGTGTTTATGATGTGATTTTATTTTACATTTCTCTAATTTCCAAAGAGGTTTTAGTCTTTTATGATTATTGAAATATTTCATGTAAACAATGACTTTTCAAATTTCTTGCCTGCTTTTCTTTTGGGGTCGCTCTCTGAACCTTTCATTGTGTATTTGATTATATGTGAGGAAATGAGTTTCTTTTACTCTGTGACTTCATCTCTCTGCACCCTTTATTGGTATCATTTGATTAATAGAATTTTTATTAATATTGTATAATTTATAAAATTGAAAAAATATTATTTTGTGTAACTTTGTAGAAAAATAACTCTCTTTTATTTTTATTGATATTTTACCCTTCTTTGTGATACTGTGGATTGAAGCCAGGGTATCCTATGACTGAGTTGCATCCTCAGTCCTTTGAAAAATTTTACTTTGCCTCAGGGTGTTGCTCAGTTGCTGGGGCTGGCCTCACAATTGTGATCCTCCTGCCTTGGTCTCCAGAGCACCTGATATTGCAAGTGTGCACCACCTGCACCCTAGCCCACCCTTTCTTACATCAACTTTCCAATGCTTTATATTTTCTTTTTATTTCAGAACTTATTGCATCTGAAATGAGTTTTTATGTGGTATGAATGAAGGGTACAATAGCATTTTTATTTTCACACAGTTGTCCAATTATTCCTGCATCATTTTTTTTTGGGGGGGGGGGCGGGAGAATGTCATTTTTTTTCTTTCCTGAACTGTAATCTCTATCATTTATCATTGTCTAATATCAAGAGATATATGAAGGGTTTTGTTTCAATTCCACAGCCTAATTATTCCTTTCATTACGTGGTCTATGCTGAACAGTATAACGTTGTAACACACACGTGTGGACTACTGGTTTTTGGGTTAGGGATAGACTTCAGGTACAATAGCTGTAGCATATAGCCTATGCACATAGTAATTCATACCATCTAGGGCTTGTCATTACTGCTATGATGATAGAATTATCTTACATCTTCCAGAATATTTCCCCAACATTAATAGAAACATCGTTGCATATGTACAATTATATATAATTAACATAATTTTTACTTGTCGAATTTATCAGAGTTCTTTCAATTTCATTTGTTTTTTAAAGCAACAACATTTGACATTAGTAATACTCTGTGTTATGTTTATTTTCAAATTTTGCTCTTTTGCTTAGGATTTTCTTTACTGTTATTTTCACAAAATTTGCTTTTTCCAAATTACTGAGCCTGATTACTTGCTAATAAATTCTTTGTCCTTTTATAGTTTACTGGTTAAAGACTGTATGTTTCCTTTTTAACATCTGTTTTAGATGTATCCCACTTTATTACAGCCTTATGGAGGTTTGATGGACATCTGTTAACCTATATATATCAAAGGTTTATGCTTTTATGTTTGGACATATGTACACACCCATGAAACCAGGACTGCAGTCAACAAACTTATCATATCCATTACTACAAAATGTCCTCTATGCTCATTTACATCCCCCCCCCAAATTTTATGTAGTAAATTTGATCTTATTGAGCAAGAACAGGGCAAACATCAAAATGATAAAGATCCTTGAATTACCATAGAGGGAGCACTTTCTGTCTCTACATCAAGACACAGAGCATTGATGATCCCCAACACCCCTCCTTGCCCTCTTTCTCTTACCACCCTCCATTCTCCCCAGTAGTTAGTACTGTTTTCCACGTAGTTCTAGAGAAGTGTTAGTTAAAGGCAAAGCAAGCAAACGGTAAAAGAGAAGTGTGACTCCCTCTTTACTCAATCATAGAAAAAGGGGAGGAGAAGGGGGCAACAGTGGGCTGGGCTCCAGCGCTGACCCCAGCCCAGCCAGGTGCTCTCTGATAGGAGGGCATGTGAGGTGAATCCTAGGATGAAGGAGAGGCTGGGCAGGATGTGAGACTGTGGCTGCTAGGAGAGGCTGGCAGACTGCAAGGAGGGGGAGGGGGATCTGGGGACCAGTTGGAGGCTCAGATGCAGCAGGCAGGAAGGTGTAACTGTGGCAGAGGGAGGGGGAGTGCCAGCACCTGGGGGGTGGAGTTGAGAAGGCTGGTGTGAACACAGAGACATGGGATCAAGGGCTGTGATGAGGGGAGACTAGGTATTTCAAAGTGTGAGGAAGAGGACTCAAAATCCATGCTGAGCTCCCTGAGTTTGAAGAACAGGGTCCCTGAGGTTTCATTGTAGGATTATAGAAGATATGAGTGTAAATAGCGCGGTGGACTCCATGAGGAACACATAAAGTAGTGGGCTGTCCTAGAGTGGGTTTCTCAACCTCCTGTAGTAAATCACAAGTGGCCGTCATGCCATAAAGGCAGAGGACACTTTTTTTACTGTGTGGTCAAGTTTTTTTTCACCGATAGGCTACTGATTGATCTATCTGCAGTGTCCATGGGAGAACTCCAAAGGCTGTACCTTCTTTCTTGTTCATATAAGGTCTTTTAAAAATTTTGTTCTAATTAGTTATACATCACAACAGAATACATCTTAATTCATTGTACATAAATGGAGCACAACTTTTCATTTCTATGGTTGTACATGATGTACAGTCACGCCATATGTGCAGTCATACATGTACATAATGATGTCCATCTCATTCCACCATCTTTCCTGCCCCCCATGCCACCTCCCCTCCCCTCCATCCCCTTTGCCCAATAAAAGTTTCTCCATTCTTTCCCCCCATATACTCCTATTATAGATCAGCATCCACTTATCAAAAAGAACATTTGGTCTTTGCTTTTTTGGGGATTGGCTTACTTCTCTTAGCATGATATTCTCCAACTCCATCCATTTACCTGTGAATGCCATAATTTTATCTCTTAATGCTGAGTAATATTCCACTGTGTATATAATACCACAGATTCTTTATCCATTCATCTACTGAAAGGCATCTAGGTTGGTTCCACAGTTTAGCTAATGTGAATTGAGCTGCTATGAACAGTGATGTGGCTGCATCAATATAGTATGCTGTTTTAAGTCCTTTGGGTATAGAGCAAGGAATGGGTAGCCAGGAGTGGGTCAAATGGTGGTTCCATTCCAAGTTTTCTAAGGAATCTCCAGACTACTTTCCATACCGGGTGCACAATTTGCAGTGCCACCAGAAATGTATGAGTGTACCCTTTTCCTCACATCCTCACTGACATTTATTATTTCTTGTATTGTGATAATTGCCATTGTGACTGGAGGAGTGAGATAAAATCTTATAGTAGTTTTGATTTGCATTTCTCTAATTACCAGAGAAGTTGAACAGTTTTAAAATTGATTTGTTGATAAATTATATATATATTCTTCTGAGAAGTGGTCTGTTTAGATCCTTAACCAATTTATTGATTGGGATATAGATAGATAGATCAATAGATAGATAGATAGATAGTTAGTTTGGTATTAAGTTTTTGAGTTCTTTTAATATCCTGGAAATTAGTGCTTTATCTGATGTCCTTGTAGTAAAGATTTTCTCCCACTCTCTGGTCTACAGAAGGGACCCGTGAAAACAGACCAGCTGGGGAAATATGTCCTAGGTCCCCTAATGCTATTTTACCACAACTTTGACACCAATTATGCCATAGATGTCCACAGAGGGATCAGATATTTCCCTGTAGAGAACCTGATGTGTAGAATCCAGGGTCGTAGTGTGCCTCCTGAGGAGATTACCAGTTGTCCACATTGGCATGACTTCACTGCATTAAGTTTTCTTTTCCCAGAGTAGGCCCATGGCGGAGTAACACACACCATTCATGAAGAGAAGACAAGGATCCTTGGCAGCTCCTGGAAAGACCCATCAGACCTTTCCTTTACTTACAGTTACCCCTCATCCAGGACAACCTGAGGCAAATGCATTTGTCTCCTAATTCTCCAGACTCAGCTGTCAATGGACTAATCAGCACCTTGCATCCTTGGTGTAGAAGTGGGGTTGCTCTAAGTGCCAGGCTTGCCTGAGAAGGCTGGAGGGGCACTCAGTTTTCTTCATGGTGACCAAATATGATAGCAAAATCTTAGTCCTTGTCCCTACCTAGTCCTTTTCCAATACGGAGAAAAAGGATTTGAGGAAAAAATAAAAGTGTCATTGCTATGCTACAAAAAAAAAAAAATAATAATAATAATAGGGGGACTCCTGTCCCAAAGGATGTGATATTCTAATTGCCAGTGAACAGAGGTTATTTTAAGCAGTGATTCAAATATTACCCACCAGAACAGAGATATGAAAATTTGTTCTCTATATGTGTATTAAGAATTGTAATTCACTGTGCTGTCATGTATTTAAAAAATAAAATCAATAAAAAATAAAAAATATATATTACCCACCAGTTGTGCCCTGTCAGATTCATAATTCCCTTGTAGCCTTGAGAGAGCTATTTCTTAGAACTTCTTGCATCAGCTCTAAAGTCCAGATTTCTTGGTTCCTGTGGTGCATGAGCTGAAGGACATATAACCTGGCTTAAGTTCTGACTTAAGACAGGAAGTAGGTTAATCTAGTTTTCCCCATGGTTAGGAAACAGAGGAAAAAGTAGAAGAAAAAGTCAAGTCAGTTTTAAAATAAGTCTCAGTGGAAGAGGAGCAAGGGTTATGTACAAAGCATGAAGTGGACCCTGACACATTTCTAGAGGACACCTGGCAGGTAGGAATGGGTGGGGTTGATGAAGAACAGAAAGTTTAGATCAATCTGGGCATCAAAGTGGATGCCAGGAATCTCAGGGACACAGACATGCAGGCCAGAAACTCAAAAGTTCAAGGTCAGCCTGGAGGACTTCATGAAACCATGAAAGGTCAAAACAATACAAAGGGTTGAGGACAAAGCTCAGTAGTAACTTGCCCCTGGGTTCAATTCCCAGTAACAACAACAGCAACAACATAAATTCAGAAATAAGATCAAAGAATGCTTTTCCATGAAGCCAGCAGGTACTTAGGAGGGGACAGGAAAAGAGTGTGTCTTAGCTGAGGATGAGGTGAGTCGGTATCAATGGGGCTAGAGGCAGGATGGAAATTTAAGCCAGTTTTTTTTTAATATTTATTTTTTAGTTGTAGTTGGACACAACACCTTTATTTCACTTATTTATTTTTTTGTGGTGCTGAGGATTGAACCCAGAGTCCCGCACATGCAAGGTACAACCCCAGCCACAACTCCAGCCCATAAGCCAGTTTTAAGTTAACAAATATTTTGTTCTGCCCACTAAAACAAACTGTTTAATTATTTGTTTGTGAGTGTTTGGATGGTTATAGTTAACATAGAGAGGATCATCAAAGTTATAATCAGTAGGGAGACTCTTTTTACTTATTTTTTTTTAATTTGGGTACCAGGGATTGAATCCAGGGCACTTAACCACTGAGTCATGTCCTTGGCCCTTTTTTATATTTTACTTAGAGACAGGGTTCCACCAAGCTGTTTAGGGCCTCTCTAAGTTGCTGAGCCTGGATTTGAATTCTTGATCCTTCTGTCTCAGCCTCCCAACTTACTTCGATTACAACTGTGCACCACCATGCCCAACTTAGGAAGGGGAAGTCTCTAATATGATGCTGGAAGAACACCAAGGATGGATGGATCAATGTATTCAGTTGACAGTTCCCTAGGATTTCAAACCTGCTGCATATACTGCCACATTTCATGCTCCGTGCATCTTTTCTGTGTTAATTTCTCGAGTTATGAAAAGATGGTACACAAAGTTAAATGTTTTCCTTTATTCTGAGTCAATAGTTATATCAAATTATTCAACATGTTAGGTAGTTGTAGGGTCCCCCAACTTATGGGAAGTAGATAAGAGGATAGATGATATCATAAGGTTGGTAACTGGAATCCCAGTTAGGCAAACTACTGCAGGGTTGATCCCTAAACTTGTGGGATCTCTACCAAGGGTCAAAATTGAATTATTGGATAATCAGTTGTTAGGACATTGATTGATGTTGTGGAAATTCACACTCTTTTTTGATAGAAGTGGTTTCAGAAAACAGACATTAAATGTCAGGACTTTAAACTAACTCTAGCTATGTGTTGTTCACTGGTGAGAATCATAACCCTAGAAGAAGGAGCATTTCCACACTCTGAAAAGGGTGCATTGACCTCAGAGAAACTTCTCCTTAGCTGCTCAGGATGTCCTCACTCACTCCTTAGGAATGACCCCTGTAGGGCTGCAACTTTACAGTGAGTGCTCCCTAACTGTGGGGATGCATTTATTCTAATGTTTGAGTTCCCTTTTGAACAGTGAGTACAACAGGCTACTGACCTGATTTGTTTCCCTGTTGTCTCTTTCATAAAATCTTAGTCATACAATTCTAGTTTATCCATGTACTTGAAATTTTTATTTTTTGATATGAGTTTAAGAGTTTTAATTATGGTTTAAAAATAGGAGTGAATTAGGTGAAATGCTCTGAAGAAACCAAGATTCTTTCCATAAAGCAATGCTGTGTTTCAAAAATGAGAATCCAAACACACCTGGAGTCCTCATTAGATAAACATAAGGGTTTTGGCATTTCTGGTGTGTCTCACGGACCTCCTCTTCCTTCTGCACAGAGATAATGACAGTCCTGTGACTACTTAGTCACTGCTCATAATTTTACCATGTATTTCTTAGAATCATTTCTTTTCTTTTTTCTTTCTTTCTTTCTTTTTTTTTTTTTGCTTGATTGTAGTAGTTTTGAGCTTTGTATAACTTAATTTTCTCATTGCTATTCCATTGGGATTATGTTAAGACTTTCTTTCTTTTCTTTTCTTTTTTAACCACTTCTTTGTTGGCTCTCTTAAACACATGCTGCTGTGCTGCTGTCTGGAGCTCTGTTCTACTTAATTAATTTACTCCTTGCACTGCCTGTGGATCTGGAATTGTTTCAAGTTTGTGTTGTGATGATGTTGACAATGTCTTTTTCTTAATTTTTCCCCAAATATTAATGTTTCATGAATATTTTACTCATTGGGAAATACAATGGGTTGTATATTATGCATAAATTCAGATTTACTAGTAACTATCAGTGAAATGTGCCAATCATCTGGGTATTCATTCATGTGTGTTTGTTCCTCATGAACACTTACCCTTACTTATTTTGATGTCATTTTACATTACCTTTATTCATAATCTGACATTCAGCATTTTTCTCATGTAGTTTTTAATTTAAACACAATTTCCATCATTTTATTACATTTAATTATTAATTCTTCCTGTTTTACATATTTTACTGACAATGCATTTTTATTTATATTTCTTTCATACAGATAATTTCTCAGGGAGCAGGGTTCCTTTCACTTCATACTACATTTTCATGAACTTCTCTACATTTTAATTGAGTTGAATTTATCAATCTGTTCTTTGAACTTGCTTGATTTTCGTATATAAATTTTTTGGAGGACAGGAGAAGGTGTTGAGCTCCCAGAGTTAAATCCTTGGATTTCCAAACCTCTCCTCCAGAGACTGAATCATTCTGGAGATACATGTCATCCATCCATCTGTCTCCAGAGCTTCTGAATTCTGCAAACAGGTTTATCCTCTGCATACAGGTTTATTCCTCTAAACAGGTTGGCTTCTTGAAATGTGGGTCATGCACACTCCTTACATGAGCTAGCTAAAATATGTGTTTTCTTGCTTTGAACTCATTTTTTAAAAATATTAATGCTGTATGACAACAATTTTATATGTGTTTAATAATTGTATTTGGGGGGGTTACTTACTATTTATTTATTTGTTTGTTTATTCATTTATTTATTTTTGCTGTGATGAAATAGACTGAGAGAGAAAGTGTCAGAAGCCTTGGTCATGCAGACACTAGCCTCACCTAGCTCCCTCCTTGCTGGTGTAGCCAGGCTTGGCTTTTGCTCTTCTCCTGTGCTGAGGCCAGAGCTGGCTTGCTGCATCAACTGAGTTGTCATACTACACATGCACACTTGTGACTTCCTGTGTAGAAGAAAGATACAGGAGTAGCCCAGTAAAGAAGGAGGGGACAGTTCTGGTATCTCCTGAAGCCTAGAGTGAAGCTGTGCCAAGATGCAAAAGTTCTTTCTGAGCAAGCAACTTGCTGAGAAAAGCTGCGGCCAAGAGTGTGTCACTCTGACATCATTCAGCCAGGGTTTGGATTGCACCTCCTGGCACTCTGTGCCTGTGTTGGGCCTCTCCCCATTCATGGATTCTGGGAGGAAACTCTCCAATCAGGCCTGCAGTAAGAGAGGAAGGGGTGTCTTTCCATAGTTTCATCAAATTGTGTAATGCCTCTAGAGCTCTGGAATGGCCTCTGCTTGTGAGGCCCAATTATACAATAAATCTAAAAATAGTGCTAGAATATCTAAAATGCCAGAAAATGTAGAATCTGCAGGGTTTTTTTTTTGTAAAAGAGAGAATCATCTGTGGAGGGAAAATATCCTGCCTAAAAGTAGAGCCAGATTCAGCTGATCTAAGTTTATTACTGTGGAATTATAGCCCTTTGACCACTCTGGACCATAGGGTGGGAGAACAGCCAGCAGCTGAAAACTGTGGGCATCTGTCATTACAAAGAGCCATCTTTTGACATCTCTGTGTCTTCACAGTTTGTCAGAGTATACAGAGCATCACATTGGGAGAAGCCAACTTGGTGGATGTGGTCTTTGTGTAGGAGGTGCTTTGTTGGCACCAGAAATCAGCTTTACCTTTCTCCCCAGGGTTATTTATTTTCTCTGATTCTCCCACAATATGAGAGGTAGGATCTCAAAACTTAGATAGCTGCCCACAGGGCTGACAAAAAATTCTTTATTTTTGAGTTTCCTCAACAGATTCCAAAATATCAATTTTTTTCATTTGCAGATCACAGGATTATTAACAATTTTTACCCATGCAATATTTGAAGCTAATGCTGTATCTTAATTGTCATTTACCCCTAAGTAATGGATGATGGTTTTTGAAAATGTATGTTTTTAGGAGGTAAATGTTTCACATGGTTTGAGAGCAAAGAATAATCACCAGATCTGCTTTTGAAAATCTTTGTGCCTTCTTTTTTCTTCCCTAGGCACACTCATCTTATCACCATATCTTTGACAAGTATTCTGGTTTATAAGTGGAATGTCTCCAAAATTTCATGTGTTGAAACATGGTCCCCAGTTGCAGCAAGGTGGAGAGATGGGCTTGTAGACCATAAGGGCTCTGACTTCTTCTTTGGGCCAGTCCACTAACAACTGACTGGACTATTGGGAAGAGTACTAGTTGGAGGACATAGATCATTGGGGTAACTCTGAACAGAATCATCTTCTCCCAGCACCTTCCTTCTTCTCTGCTGCCTGGCTGCCATGAGCTGAACAGCTTTTCTCCATGTTCTTCTTCCATGATGTTTCTGTCTTGGAGTGAGACTACCATGGACTGAGTGCTCTGAAACTGTGACTGAAATAAATGTTTCCACTCCTAAGTTGTGACTTTTAGATATTTATGTCACAAGTGGAAAGCTCAGTACAACAGAAACTTTACTAGGTGGCATGTCCTTATCCAGTGTCCTATTCTTTCCCTGGTGCTGGATTTCAGAACTGTCTGGGATGACACTTGGTACCCATGGGGGTATTTCTCTTAGATTGTCTGTTGACCATCAGCCTCCTGATCATCTATTTCTAGAAAACAGATTGAGGTGGAGACTTGGGGGAACACTGATTTATCTGGGGCCTAGAGGAACCTCTTTTATCATTTTATCTACATTGTAACGCCTTGTAATATGAATATTTTTCCTTTAACCTCCACTATATAGATATTTGGATGGCCTATAAATTATGTTGTGGGGGTAATAAAGAATTTTGGTTCTACTCTCTACATTTCTCTGAGTTTTGATTTCCAGGAGAGTATTCTAAAAAACGCACACCCTCTGGGTGTACAGGAAACCACAATGTACTTCAGTGAGTAAGAATGGGGATGAAGAATGTCCAAAGTGTCAGGATGCCTTGACTTTTACCTTGGGTCTGACCTGTCCATATTTCAGTCAGTACGGTTCTTCCCAGGCTTGTCACCTTCAAAAGATGTCTTTACTTACTTCAGCTTCAACTTTTCCCTAATTGTAAGATGTATTTTACTATCAGTCTTCAAATTAAACATATATATCCAATACTACAGGATAAAGTTGAATTTTAGGAAAAAATCAGACATATGTTACTTTATTTAAATGTTTTATTTGCACTTATTCTTCTACAGAGGGTTCTTCATGGGATTCCCATGTGCTCTGTGTTTTGGAAAGTGATTTCAAGTGGAATTTCAGGGCTTAGCTTTGGAAATTTTACAAGAAATAATGAATAGGAAAAATCTACCATTATGGTGGCAGAGAAATGAATGTAGGTTTTAAAAATTGATTGGTAGCTGCCTAGGTGAATTTTATATAGACCAAGCTATCACCTCCTCATCCATGAAGACATGTGATAATCAACTTGTCATAGATCTTATCATCTGAATATTAGAGATTAATATTGAATCATGTGAGATAAGATTTGGCAAATCCTAGAATTATTCACATGATTTCTGTTTAGTAAATGGTTATCATGGAGATAGTAACCAAATATTACATTTACTTTCTGAAAAAGATGGGTGCTTTTCCATTTCAGGGACAAATGTAAGTTCTTTACACTTTTGTTGCCTCCCATGGACTGGAATTTGGCCAAGCATAGTGGGTGATGCATGGCTGAGATGCCAGTTACTCAGGACACTAATGGAGGAGGATTGCACATTTTAGATCAGTCTTGGAAGCTTAGGGACACCAAGTTTCAAAAAGTAAAAAGAACTAAAGATGTTGCTAGTGGTAAATCTGTAAACAGTCCCTGAATTCAATCCTAACCAGAAAACAAAATCCCTCTGAGTATGAATACTTTTACCTTTTAGGTAGTGGTTCTTTCTCATCTAAAACTAAATAAATAAATTTGGAAAGCAGAGAGGTCTGAGCTCAGTGATTAGTAGTTAAGGTAATCTTGAACTTACAAAGGAAGATCCTTGGGACCCATTTTTTTAATAAGTCCCATATTTTCCAGATATGGATTTGAATGGTAGGTTATCATTCCTAAGAAGGAAGCCTAGAGAAGTAGGAGGAAGATGTAGTTGTTTTCCAGGAGTTTCCCAGGTCAGGGGCAGCACTGAATTTTCCTCCCAAACTACTATGGAACATGCAGACTGTTACTTCTGCACTGTTTCAGTATTGTGTTTAATATGTTTTAAATCCACTTTGCTTCACTTTCTTATCAAAACAGTCAACTTGAACTCTGTTTAAAACATATATGGTACACATATCCCCCCTATATCAGGAGCCCTCTGTTCTTTTACTTTCATCAAAGCCAGGCCAGGCATATGTGACCTGCGGAATTCAAAAGGTTTTCTTTTTGATAAATGGACATCGGATTGTCTTGGTATCCTAGATTCCCATTGGGGATGTTTCTGGGTCATTAGAAGAAGTGAACCCTGCTTTGTTTTCATTCCATCTGGATGCTCCACTATCTATAAATACAGAAAACTTAATAAAATGCACATTCATTTCCCCTAAGAACAAAGTAAGTCCTAAAAGAACAGAATGATTAGAAGAGACTCAATCTCTACAATGCCATGGAAAGTCTGCTGAAATACTTATTATGTCATTTAGTTTTGATTTGGCCACAGACATCACAGCAGTGATGATGTGTCCTTTTATATTCACTGACACTTTGTACCAATTTGTTCTATTTGTTCTTCAACTCTTTTAACTTTGTTTGCTTGGTTTAAATGCTGTCTGCCACATTTTCCCTATAATGTTATATTTCTTTGTCTTGAAGTGTTTTGGTAGGATTTTCTAAATAATCTACATAAACCATCATATTTGATACAGAAACTCTTTTTCTTAGTAATTTTTATTTTTGTGGCTTGCTTTGGGGAATGCAATCTCTGCTGCCTTTTTTTTCATACAGACATCGGCTCTATTACTGGAGCTCCTGAAATAGACCACAGTCCTGTAGGCTTTCATTTTATTCTACCTGCAGTTCACAGACATTAACCTCATTTTATATAATGGTTGTGCACTTAAAATCATCCTTCTTCTCACCATAATTTTCTTCTGTGAGAAATAGACAATTTATCATATGATATATAAATTCACAATTAAAATGAATATGCTCTGTTGGTGCCTTAATTTTTCATTTTATTTTGTAAAATTAGAGTATAAAAACTTTTTTGTGGATTTGTGACACTCTTTTCTCAGAGTTTTATAATAGAGAAAATCACTATTATGAAGTATTTTCTTGAATAATAAACAACACTCACCAGTTAAGAGCCAGGTCTACTAACTCTCATTTCATCTTCAGCCAACTTTCAAGCTCTGTGAATGATCAAATGGTCAATGTGCTCTTTATTTATCTATTCCTATTTCAGGAACTGTTGGCATTCACCGATGTGACCATTGATTTCTCTGAAGAGGAATGGGAATGCCTGGAGCCTGCTCAGAGGAACTTATACAAAGAAGTGATGCTAGAGACCTACAGAAACCTGGTCTTCCTGGGTGAGCAGAGTTCCCTTCAGAATTCCAAATAAATCAGAACTCCTAATTGTATAATTTTCTTACCTTGCAGAATATCTTTTGGGTACTTCTGCTCTTCAAGAATGAGTTTCAGATTCTTGCTTTCAAGAAAAAGGATTGGGCAATTTTTGTTACAGAGAAGAAAATGTTAATGCCATTTATTTCAGTCCTTAATCTTTCTTTTTCCTGAAATGATGTATACTTTTCACTTAAAATTCGTGGTACTTATAGTAATGCAGTGATATAGAATGATGTGACCCACATGTCAAAATCCAAATTCTTCCCTTTATAGATAGAATAGAAGCTTCAATATTCTCAGTGATAATCCCAACAAATAGTCAATTCATTTTCTGATGAACATATTGCCTCTAAGCTGTATTTGGACACCCTCCCCTGGTGCAAAGAAGAGAGCCCTGAGCTACGTACCCAAGTGGGCAGAAATTCATGAAACAGAGGACACAATTGAGAGGTCCAAAGGCAAGGAGGAAGCCAAATTCAAATGTTGGTGGAGAAGTTATTATGCCACAGAAATGGTCTTGCAGGAGCTTAGGTTTATTTCCTAGATGTCCTAGAAGGACATCTACTGTCCTATATTGAGCATGGTTTCCTCTTCTTTAGTCCTCCTTCTCCTCCATGGATGTCTGTGTTGAGTCAAATCAACATCCCAAGCACTCCCCTTTGCTTGTGAGGTCAGCATGATCTGATGGCATTTTCATGATTTGACATGTCTCTCAGAAATCTGTGCACATTTCTGGAGACCTATAGATGAATTTATTATAATATAGTAGTATCAGAAAGTAGTTTCTCTTTTATCCTTATGTTTTTATTAATTGAAATTTCCTTATCAGAACTCATTATGAATACTTATAATGAATATTCTGTGGAACTTTTCTGTCATTAGTGAATGACTGCTCATTTTGCTTATATGGTCATAGGTGATAACTACAGTTATATAAAAGGGTTTGCACAATAATCAATCAATGGTTATTCTGAATTTTGTTAGTTAAATTTTCTTTTTATTTTTTCCTTTTCTGTATTTCATATTATACAGTAGATTTTGAGTTGTACTGTAGGTTTCCTCCCATCATCTAATGTTTCTATTTTTTTACCTACACTTTATAATTCGATGGTCATTTCCAATATTTCACAAATTAGGGCAGTGTAAGATGAAATTAAATTATGTCTGATTTTTGTTTCCATTGTCAGTACAATTATATTTACTTCTATCTTTATTTAATTTTTAATTTTTTTTCTTTTGCCAATAAAATTACAGATAAAATACTTTCTATCTCATAAGTTTTTATTTTAAAGTATGTTGCACATACAATAATCATTTTCACACCAGCCTCTGATCACTTTTGTGTGTAATATTCTTATACACTTTTGCCTTCAAATTGCATCTTTAGATTTAGTCTCTGATAATCTGCATATAGTTGTAATTTTTTATTTGTTTCCTCTGCTTCCTTTAATTCTCTTTTCCTTCTTTTTTAAATGGGTTATCTTGTGGTTCACAGATTGTTATCATGATATTAATTGATTCCTCTTTCACTTCCCTTTATTCTATGAGTATTTTGTCTTTTACTTTGATATTTTATAAAAATCATTTTAAGCTTACACTAGGTTTTTAACTGGCAACAAGTTGACTTCAATTCATAACAAAATTTATTATATTTATGTATCCTTTGAAAATTATGTTATTGATGACACATTTATTTTTATATTCCATACATATTTAGAGGATTATGATGATTTTTATGTTTTTATACTTTAAATTCTATAGAAAAAGTGTTCTATGACCCATTGGTCCAGTAAAATTGAATTCTATATTGGTACATGAATTTTCCTTACAATGAAAGTTTTAAAATTTTATATGACTTGTGTTGCTGTGCACATTTATTTCATTTTTCAATATGAATAATTCACTTGAGTATTTTTGGAAAAAGAGGTCAAGTAGTTATAATGTTTGGGTGCACTTATACATATTTAAAATCTTTATTTTTATTCATGTTGAAGTATAGTATCTCTGGTTATAGTATTCTCAGTTGGGAAGTTTGTTTTATCACCCCTTTGATGCTATTCACCTTTGGGCTTAATCCTAAGCACCACACATAAAAAAATTAAAAGTGGAATGACCCTGTTATCCAGAAACACAAGTTCTAAATAGGTATCCTGAGGAGATTAAATCAGCATGTTGAAGAGAGAGCTCCACTACTGCTTCAGTTCAAATGTTGTTCACAGTAGTCAAGACATAGACTCCACCTATGTGCTCATCAGGAGTTGGATGAGTAAAAAAGATGGTATTTATACACAATCAATTACCAATAGAAAAGAGATATCTTTTCAATTAAAGTGACAAGGGATGAATATGCAGGACTTTGCATTGCATGAAATAAGGCAGCCACAGAAAATAATTTGCAACCTCATCTGACTCACATGTGGAACTCACAAGTGCAGAGAGTGAAATGGTTACCAACTCCTGCATGTTCGGAGTGTTGATGAAAGACCGCTATATATTTATTTTATTTTATTATTTTTTTAAAGAGAGAGAGGAGGAGAGGTGGGGGGAGGGAGAGAGAGAGAGAGAGAATATTTTTTAATATTTATTTTTCAGTTTTCGGTGGACACAACATCTTTATTTTATTTTATGTGGTGCTGAGGATTGAACCCAGCACCCCGCGCATGCCAGGCGAGCGCATTACGGCTTGAGCGACATCCAGCCCAATACATTATCTTAAAGGACATAAGAAGTTTTGAGCCCACGGTGTGACACTTAAATACTGAGCCACATCCCAAGCTCTTTTACTATTTTTTATTTTGATACAGGGTCTTGCTAAGTTATTTACAGTCACACTAGTTTGCTGAGGCTGAATTTGAACTTGGGATCCTCCTGCCTCAGACTCCTGAGCTGTGCAGAATCAAGGCTTGTACCACCACACTGGCAAATGTACTGTATTTTTGGCAAATGCTAATCGAATGAATACAATGATTTCTAAACACTAAAATGATGATTAGATAAAATGTTCCTTAGCTAGAATTAGTCATTTCACCATATATTCTATTTTAAAATACCATTAAATACTTGGTAAATACATGAATTTAACAAATTTAATTTGTTAATGATTTGAATCAGTAAATAACCAAAGTTATAAAATTAAAAACCAAGTTATTTGTCTTGAACTCCATGTGTTGAGTTTATCTAGGTAATACTGACATAGGCTGTGCCTGTGTGTGTGTGTTTGTGTGTAATGTGTGCTTACCAATAAAAATATTTTTTTCATATTTCTCCTTAGAGACCATATACTCTTTGCCCCTATTGAATATCTGTGTTATTGTCATCCAACATTTGTTATATCCAGGTTTCTCATGGTAGACAGAAAGTGCTTTTCAGGCAGTCGCCAAGAAAGCCAAAAATGTTCATGTTTACATTTCCCTTTTCCTTTTGAGAGAAAAGAAAGAAGTTGGTAGATTTTTCCTAATTGTAGAATTCTTGAGGAAAAAGGCCTGTAGTGAATAAAAGTAACACATTTTCCTTTTCTCTGCTATATTACTCTTCTTAATGATGTACTTCTCTTGCACACTGAATTCTCAGATGATTTGGGTAATTCTTACAAAGTACATTTGTCTGTCCATTGTTATTTAGTTCATATATTTATGGAGAAATGATGGTCTTTGATGCCACACTATTGAAGTTCTGACTGCTATAATTGTATGTTAGATTTGTAAAGTGTATTATAAGTATAATATGTAAAATAATTGTTATACTCAATTTTTTCCAGCCATGCCCTCTCATCATACCCAGGATATTTTACCAGAACCGAACAGAGAACATTTATTTATAAAAGTGATAAAGAGAAGATATAAAAATTGTTACCTTGACTATTTACAACAAAATAAAATACAGAATAGTGTAGGTAACAATGAAGATCAGAAATCATATTATAAAGAAGACACATTAATAGCAACAGTTTTTAATAAAAATGTCCTTAATAATATCGACAGTCCTCAAGAAGATTTAATAGCTCAGAAAAGTATTCAATTTATAACTGAAGGACAAGTTTCTGAAAGTGTTGATTTTGAAAATTTCTCTACACTCTGTCCATCATTCTGCAATGAACAAAAGATTTATTCTTGTGCTCAAAGATACACTTTTAATGATTGTGGGAAGGCCCCTATGTACTCCCTACTGCTTAATCAAAATTCAGATATAGATTTCTGGAAAGTGTGCAATACATGTGATGAAACAAGCAACACCTTCAGTCAGGTCTCTATGCTAAGCAATTACCAGTGCCCTTACATTGGAGAAAAAAAGCATGAATCTAGCAAAACACATAACAAATTTAGCTTTCATTGCAATCAAAGGGAACATCAGTGTGGTAATTGTGCCCAGAACATTCACAAAGATGACAGATGTAAGAAAGTCCCTCCTTATTGCTCAAAGCACCATCAAAGTACTCAGAGCCAAGAGATGCCTTGCAAATATGAGGAATGGGAGAGAGCTTCTTATCCAACTGCAAGCATTCCTCAATACAGTGGAACTCATCCTGAAAGGGAGCCCCACATATTTAAGGAATATGTTCAAGCAGGAAGTTCCACACCACTTTCTAAAGACCACAGGTACCATAGCAGTGGTCAACACTACAAATTTAAAGAGTGTGGCAAAGCTTTTAATCAAGGATCACTCTCTATTATGCACCCCAGAATTCATAGTGTAGAGAAACCCTACAATTGTGAAGAATGTGGCAAGTTCTTTTTTAAACACCTGGTATTGCATAGCAGTGAGGAAACCTACAAATATAAAGAATGTGAAAAAACATTTAAGGAATTTTCAACCCTTAGTCAACACCAAAAGAGTCATACAGAAGAGAAGTCCTATAAATGTGAAGTATATGGCAAAGCTTTTAATAAAAGATCATGTCTTACTCGACACCAGAGTATTCATACTGTAGACAAGCCCTACAAATGTAATAAATGTGGGAAAGCTTTTAAAAATAATGTATGCCTTACCAAACATGAGGTAATTCATACTATAGAAAAGTCATACAAATGTGAAGAATGTGGCAAAGCTTTTAATCGAAGATCATGCCTTACTCAACACCAGAGAACTCATACAGGAGAGAAGCCCTACAAATGTAAAGAATGTGGGAAAGAATATACTCAAAGAGCAGGCCTTGCTCAGCACCAGAGAATTCATACTGGAGAGAAGCCCTATAAATGTGAACAATGTGGCAAATGATTTACTCAAAAAGTAGGCCTTACTCAACACCAGAGAATTCATACAGGAGAGAAGCCCTACAAATGTACTAAATGTGAGAAAGCTTTTAGGTATAAATCAAGCCTTACACAGCACCAGAGAATTCATAATGGAGAGATTCAATGTGAAGAATGTGGGAAAGGTTTTAATGAAAAAAAATGGTTTACTCTTCACCAGACTAATCATAACAGGGAGGGGTAATTCAAGTGTAAAAACTGTTGCATAACTTTTAGCAATAGCACAAACATGGCTTATCACTGGAGAAGTCATAGTACATACAATCCAAAATAGTGTAAATACTGTGCCCAAGGCTTTACTCAAATTTCAAATTTTTCTTAACGTTAGAAACCTGATACCTATAGGGGATGGGGAAAGATATTTGCCTGAAATATGTGCGTTAAAAAACAGCAAAATATCTACAATAAAGAAAACACCTTTAGAAATATAAGAAATATAGCAAAACTTCTCTTGATGTACCATGAGAGGGAAATGAGGGATTGCCTTTGCCTAAAATTTGTTAAACAACCCTAGGTGATGTGGGAGAAATAAAGAAATTCTCACAAGTAGTATAAAATAGTTTAGAAACCTTGTCTCTGGAAGGATGAAAATTTATTATAAATCAAAGATTTCTCAATACTTTCACTTTTAAAAACTGGAGAAAACAATTTAACTTAGATTTTTTAGCAGAAGAAGGCTTGTTCCTCAGAGTTGTTAATCTACAATTTCAAGTCTTTACAGTGGATTATAAAATAGTTTATTCACATTGTGTATAAATTTTCCCACTAAATAAAAGTAAAAATTTTTAATGTTTAACATGTTAGGTGTTGAATCATGGTAATAAGTCAGAGATATTATTGTGTTCCTGTTTACTAAATGTTCCATGCAACAGATAGTAAAAACATACTAAAATATCTCCATTAATCTTTTTAGAAACATCAGCTCATTTGGAGAATAGTATTCGCATAAATCAGATCTTTATTTATTTTTTTCTGTTTGTAATTACGGTGATCTTAAGGCAGTTATAGGTAAGATATAAGAACATGAAAATAAGCCCCAGATTTCTCTATCTTGAATTACTACTCTCAAATTTACCCTACACATTCTGGTCCCAGTAGTGGACACCTTTTTTTCCAGCAACTGAGGAGGCTGAGGCAAGAAGATCCCAAGTTCAAAGCCAGCCTCAGCAACTTAGCAAGGCCCCAAGAAATTTAATGAGACCCTATCTCAAAATAAAAAATAAAAAAGCACTGGGGATTGTGGCCCAGTGTTTAAGCACCCCTGGATTCAATTCCTGGTACCTCCCAATTTTTTTGTACCTTATACAATGAGAGAACTCCTAAGGGCCCTGTAATTTTGGAGAGCAACACAATTTCCCAACACAGGGTCTTTTAATACCCCAGAAACCAGGGGCCACCAGTGCAAATTTTGTGGAAAGAAGGGCCATTGGAGGGAGAGATCCCAATGGTTGCCCAGGAAGTCATGTGATCACCTGGACACTGACCCATCCTGGCTCCTGGCATGTGTGGTAGAAAACAACTAAAATACTGAAGAAGCCAAAGATTTCCTCATGAAGACCTCAGGAATAACCCCCAAGGAGTCTAGACTCACATTAAAAAATTTAGGAAAATACTTTTGCCCAGTAACAAGTATTTATTTAGCCTTGAAACAACCAGAATGGAACTATAACCAGAAACAAGTGCCCAATAATGAGTGTGGGGGAAAAAAGCCATACTCATAGAGCATTTTAACCTCCCACATAATTTATATAATTTTATATATAATCTGACTTTGGCTACTTTTCACTCTACTCTATAATTTATCATGGTTATTTTACATTGAGGATTAAAAGATAGAGAGTATATGGCAAAGTCTCTCCAAACTCCTCTACCACTGAGTCCTTATGAGATACTCCAGATTACACCTGTCCCTTTTTAGGTTTTAACAGGAACAGAAGCACTTGCCACCACACAGGAAAAATCAAAGTTCTTATTTAGATGAGACACTGGAGTATAGATAAGTCATGTTTAAAAGCTAATCACACCTGGGAATGGTGGCACATGCCTGTAATTCCAGCAGCTCAGGAACCTGAGATAGGAGGATCTCAAGTTCAAAGCCAGTGCCAGCAATTTAGCAATGTCCTAAGCAACTCAGTGACATCCTATCTCTATCTAAAATACAAAAATGGGCAAGGGGTGTAGCTCAGTGATTAAGCAACCCTTGACTCAATCCCCAGTACCAAAAAACAAACAACAAAAAAGCTAAATGCAAAATAATACATATTACCTTACATTTTTTCTTTGTGTTAACCCTTTGGGTCAATGGAACACTCACATTATCACTTTGATCTAAATTGATTGGATATGTAAACATTGCAGGATACAGATCAATTTTATGCATAGGAGACAAGGAAGCAGTGTATGTCTTTGGGTTCCTTGGATTTCAGGTTCAGCTACACAGTCATCAGCCATTCTTCATTCCAAGGCTTATGGCTCTACCTTTTCTTCTTTTCTCTACTAAAGGCAGTCTCACACAGAGAACTGCTTTAGTTTTGATGTCATTTTAGTTTTGTAAGGCAAGTTAAGTTGTAATTTGGGAGTGCCTGGGGGGTTACTGCAATTTTTAAGAATATTTCTAGTTTTAGATGGACACAATGCCTTTATTTTATTTATTCATTTTTTTTTTTACATAGTACTGAGGATCAAACCCAGTGCCTCACATGTGCTAGGCAAGTGCTCTGCCACTGAGCTATACCCCCGGCTAAAGTTACAGAATTTTTGGAATAATTTTCAATTTACAGGTTACAATTGTTATATTGTGTTCAGAGGGAAGTGTTGATATACGTTTTTACATGATCCAATTAGTAAATCACTTATCTTTCACCTCAAATATCATTATGGAGAAAATATTGAGAGTTTTTCCTTCTCATCTGTGAATGTACCACACATTCCTATGTGTACTCACCTTACTGTGTAATTGGACCCTAGAGCCCTAGACCTTGTTTTTCCTCTAAAACTATGTTTATGAGCTCATCGTTTGCTTCCAACACATACCCAGAAGTGGGAAAACTGGATTGCAAGTTTATAAATTTTATGGAAAAGTCCAGTCACTCCAAATGTCTTCCTCTTTTCCCCATTGGTATCTATCCCTATCATAGGCACCAAGAGACCAAAAGCCACCATATGTGCTCATCAGCAAGTCATGACAGCAGGCTTTGGAATGGGAAGTTTATATATCCTTTATAAATGTGAGATGTGCTACTGGCAAGATGACCACATGGCGTGAGAAGATTGGTACATATATGGTGTCAACGGCCCACCTCCATTTCTGACCTCACTTCCACATTATTATGGTTCAAAAAACCTAAGGCAGGGCCTCCCCCAGGCCTGCTAAAGAGTAGGGGCACTCCAATATGTGACATAAGAAGTGTTGCAGGCCATGGCAGCTTTTCACTATTACCAGCCAGCTCCACCCATACTGTGCACTTATGGCCAGCCCTGGCAAGAACTTTAATACCTGAAATGGGACTACAGTGAGTTCCTACTGTGATTCATGGTCCAATACCCCTGATAATGCTGGTTATCTGATTATGGGTGACAAGTTCTGCTTCCCCACATGTTGAAGTTCAAACTTTATAGAAGCATGCTGAGGAAAGCATATAAATCAGGGTTTATTTAATAAGGGATAACATAGACTTCTCCTGTGAAGGAGAAGGGGGCCCTAGCTGGTATTCTGGTATCCCAAGAAATGAGGTATTCTGCCCTTTTTATATGTCCTAGGTTTCCTTTGTACTCCTGCCTTTCCCCCTCATCTTTCTCTTTCCTGCCTAGGTGACTAGGCCCAGGAATACTCAGTGGGAGTGACAAAAGGTGGGAACCAGGTGGGATGAAGGGGGAAGGGCAGGGTGGAGTATCCAAGGACACATTAACAACCTTATAGCTCCCTGTAGGGAGGGGAAATACCTGGGACAGGTTACCATGGCACAGGTTGGAGCTGGGGCAGGTTCTTGATAAGATCCCTCAGGAGAACTGTCTCTAACTTCCTAGACTCACTCAAAATTGGCCTCCTAGATCTGAACTGACTTGATTTACCTATCTATACTGACTGCCTGTCTAATTCTGGCTTCACCCCCAGATAACATAGGCCTAATTTGCGCAAACTGCAAGAGGTCTCTGCCCTACTGCGCAGAGACCCACAGTCCTGAGCCAAATGCCCAGTCCTGCCACAATTAAAACACCACCCTTGAGAATGGAGTCTCTGAAATTGAGGCTGGAGGATCTGTTTTAAAGCCGTGTTGAGTGTAAAACTCTGTAATTGGGTAGGACTAACATCTGCACAAAGGCAAATGAACTCAGAATCCATCCGTTTTTTTGTTTTGTTTTGTACCTGAGCTTGAGCCATCAGGGAATATTGTTAGTGCACCATCCATTCGTTTTGCACATGCAATCCTTGGAAAAATAAATGGAGTTACTAATGCAAATTGAATAATTTTATAATGAGGATAATGACTCTCTACCTGACCAGGAAAATTAGCAATAGCTACTTGCCAAGTATTACAAATTTGAAAAAGCTACAATTACAAAAACTAAAAGGGGGAGATAGGACTAGGACTCCCCAATATAACCTTAGTGATGCTCTGTTTGTTTTAAATTTTCTAAATTGTGACTCAGAAGGTTGCACTGCAGCTGAGCGACACATGTCTTCCACAGCAACAGGCCCGTTAGGCCAAGTTTGGTGGAAAGATCTGCAGACTGGCCAACGGAAAGGACCAGATCCAGTGATTATGTGGGGTAGAGGTCATGCTTGTATTTTCCCAGAAGGTGTTTTCCATTCTATTTGGGTACCTGAAGGCACCATAAGGCATGGAAGACTTAGAACCAAGATTCAAACGACTGAGGATTGACCCAGAGATGCCAGACCTGGCTGCCCCCAACAGGAGGAATTCTCAAAGGAATAGAGGAAGGAAGATGGCCCAGAGAGACACAATGGTGAAGCTACCCTCATGGAAGGAGCTGAAGAATCTGATGCTGCAGGCTTAACAAATGATTCAACAACAAGAAAAAATTAAATCTCTAAGGATGATGCTTGCTGCAATATTAGCTCTATTGAGCTGTCAGGTAGATGGGAATCAGGGAGAAACCTATTGGACATATTTTCCATATGCACCTTTAGTACACCCAGCAGTGTGGACTGGAGAATCCATCTCAGTATTTACTAATGACTCATATATGATGGGAGGATTTACAGACACCCATATTACTCCCAATCATGTGACTGGGTTTAATTATTCTGGCTATAGTGCTCAATTGCCTTTGTTTTGGTCCCACGATAAACTTGCTGCTGTCTAAAAGTGTCCTTTGAGAAAAAGATAGCATTTGGGAGACCTAGACCAGCTAATTGTACTGTTCCTGGAGACTCAAAATCTTATATCATATCAGTTATTAAAATGGGGCTTTCTCATAACAAACCAGTCATCTCAGAAGAACGTCCACAAATACTTCGTTTTACTAACCATTCTGTGATAGAAATTGTCATCTTTCATAAGATGGATTGTATAAATACTTTTCCAGTACAGCATAAGTTATCTAGAAATAGTGGGTATATTTTGGACTGCTCTCCTAAAATTGACAAAAGGCAATGGTGCAAGGGTATTACCATGACACCTGGAGGATTTGTAACATCTTGACCTTCAGCAAAGGTGGCATTCAAAAAGATGTTTGGCGCTTAATTGCTGCCTCAGAATTCTTTACTGACACACCTTTACCAGATTTAGTAGGCAAAAACTGTAAGGAGGGTTCCTGTTATGGCCTATGGGCCTGTGTTCAATCTCCTGACATTTTAATTATTGGAAATGTGAAAGTTAAAAGAAAGGATGATAGATATCTTGTAACATGTAATAAATGTAATTTAACAAACTGTATCACCAGATATAATAGAGGGAAAGGAACACTGACACTCATCAGCCCTCTTTTGTCTCATTGCCAGCTAATATTTTAGAGCTGTGGTATGCTGATGCTGGTTTTCAAGTCTTACAACAATTTACATGTCCAGCTAGTGAGACCTAAATGTGCTCCTAAGCTCTGTAATAGTGGGAGTTGTTGCTTTAGTTTCCTTTATGGCTTCAAGGGTCACAGCTTCAGTGGCCCTATCTCAAAATATTCAACATGCAAATTTTCTTAAAATTTAGCTTAGAATACTTCCAAGGCTCTTCATAATCAAATAAATATTGATGAAAGGATTGAGGCTAAGTTAAATGCCTCAGAGGCTACAGTCATAAATATTGGTAATGGACTTTCAGCTTTGAAATTCAAGGAAAGACTCATGTTAACTATAAGTATGTGTATGTTACTGCTGCCAAATACAATGCTTCCCAATGGGAATGGGAGGTTAAAAACCACGTTAGGTATTTGGTAAAATAATAATAACAATAATCTTTTTATAATCTAATTATAATAATGATCTTTTATTTATATTAATATTAATAATTTTATTTATATTTATATTAATAACAATAATCTTTTTATAATCTAATTATAATAATAATCTTTTGGTGTTACATCATCATATTCAAGATATACAAAAAAGTAAGATTGATTTTTCAGATCTTACTTCTTTAGATAATCAAATACTTAAAGAATTGAATGAATTTAATCCTGGAAACATTCTTACATGTTCTGCATGGTATATCCTTGTACTGTTTTCTTTGCTACTAATTCTCTCTTGTATTGTAATTGTAGGATGACGAGCCTTTAGAACAAGAATTTGGGGACTTGAAATAGTGACCCATCACCTACTTTTTCAAATTAAGAAGGGAAAATATGTGGGAAGCCACTCTGAATGACCCACACCTTCCAGTACTAAAGCAAGAAGTTCTGACCAATCACTACATTGGTGGTGACTTGGCATTGTCCCAACTCAGTTAGCAAAGGTGTGTCTTTAGATGTAGGTGTCACCCCTGGGGTTGAGTTACACTCACCTGTCCCTTGTAACCCTGCCCCTTCTGGCCTTTTTGGATAGAACTTTCTAAAGAACAAGAATTCCCCCAATAAAAGCCCACTTCCAAAGGTACTCACTCTCTCTCACCAGACTCTTGTGACTTTCTCTTGATCTCCCTTTTGGGGATCCTGAGGCCAATAGTGAAGAAGCCGTCCTAAAGCTTGTTTAAAGGTAAAGGGTGTCTGTGTTTTTATTTGGTGTCCCTACAAATTCATACGAGTGATCTTAAGTTCAGGTGCCCACACAGGTTGGGGGCAGCAGAGATCCTTTTGCCTCAGCCTCCTGAGCTGCTGGAATTACAGGCATGTGTCAACATTTTTGGCTGTGGTAAACTTTTGAACATGACTTGTATATACTCCAGTGTCTCATCTGAATAAGAACTTTGTTTTTTTCCTGTGTGGTGGCAGGTGCTTCTGTTTCTGTGAAGACCTAAAAAGGGACAGGTGTAATCTGGAGTATCTCATAAGGACTCAGTGGTAGAGGAGTTTGGAGAGACTTTGCCATATACTTTCTATCTTTTAATCCCCAATGTAAAATAACCATGATAAATTATAGAATAGAGTGAAAAGTAGCCAAAGTCAAATTATATATAAAATTATATAAATTATGTGGGAGGCTAAAATGCTCTATGAGTATGGCTTTTTCCCCTCACCATAATTATTGGGCACTTGTTCCTGGTTATAGTTCCCTTCTGGTTGTTCAAGGCTAAATAGGTATTTGGTTTTGGGCAAAAGTATTTTTCTAAATTTTTAATGTGAGTCTAGACTCCTGGGGTCTTCAATAGTGGAGTTGGCTTCTTCAGTATTTTAGTTGTTTTCTACCACACATGCCAGGCACCAGGATGGGTCAGTGTCCAGCTGACCACATGGCTTCCTGGGCAACCATTGGGATTGACCAATGGCCATTCCTTTCACAAAATTTGCACTGGTGGCCCCTGGTTTCTGGGGTATTAAAAGACCCTGTGTTGGGAAATTGTGTTGCTCTCCAAAATTACAGGGCCCTTAGGAGTTCTCTCATTGTATAAGGTACAAAAAAATTGGGAGGTACCAGGAATTGAATCCAGGGGTGCTTAAACACTGGGCCACAATCCCCAGTGCTTTTTTATTTTTTATTTTGAGATAGGGTCTCATTAAATTTCTTGGGGCCTTGCTAAGTTGCTGAGGCTGGCTTTGAACTTGGGATCTTCTTGCCTCAGCCTCCTCAGTTGCTGGAAAAAAAGGTGTCCACTACTGGGACCAGAATGTGTAGGGTAAATTTGAGAGTAGTAATTCAAGATAGAGAAATCTGGGGCTTATTTTCATGTTCTTATATCTTACCTATAACTGCCTTAAGATCACCATAATTACAAACAGAAAAAAATAAATAAAGATCTGATTTATGCGAATACTATTCTCCAAATGAGCTGATGTTTCTAAAAAGATTAATGGAGATATTTTAGTATGTTTTTACTATCTGTTGCATGGAACCTTTAGTAAACAGGAACACAGTAATATCTCTGACTTATTACCATGATTCAACACCTAACATGTTAAACATTAAAAATTTTTACTTTTATTTAGTGGGAAAATTTATACACAATGTGAATAAACTATTTTATAATCCACTGTAAAGTCTTGAAATTATAGACTAACAACTCTTAGGAACATGTCTTCTTCTTCTAAAAAAAATCTAAGTTAAATTGTTTTCTTCAGTTTTCAAAAGTGAAAATGTTGAGAAGTCTTTGATTTATAATAAATTTACATCCTTCCAGAGTCAAGTTTTCTGCACTATTTTATAGTACTTGTGATAATTTCTTTATTTCTCCCACCTCACCTAGGGATTTTTAACAAATTTTAAACAAAAGTTAAAAGAATTTTCTCATTTCCCTCTCACATATATCAAGATACAAAGTACAGATAAGGGCTTTGCTATATTTCTTATATTTCTAAAGATGTTTTCTTTATTGTAGATATTTTGCTGTTTTTTAAGGCATGTATTTCAGGCAAATATCTTTCCCAATTCCGTATAGGTATCAGGTTTCTAATGTTAAGGAAAACTTGAAATTTGTGTAAAGACTTGGGCACAGTATTTACACTGTTCTGGATTCTTTGCACATGAATTCTCCAGTGATAAGCAATGTTTGAGCCATTGCTAAAAGGTCTGCAACAGTTTTTACATTTGTACTACCTCTCCTCATTATTATTGGCTGGTGATGAGTAAACCATACTAAAGACCTTTCCAATATTCTTCAACTTGAATCTCTGCATTATGAATTCTCTGGTGCTGGGTAAGGCTTGATTTATACCTAAAAGCTTTAACACACTTATTACATTTGTAGGGCTTCTCTCCTGTATGAAATCTCTGGTGCTGAGTAAGCCCTACTCTTTGAGTGTATCGTTTGCCACATTTTTCACATTTGTAGGGCTTCTCTCCAGTATGAATACTCTGGTGATGAGCAAGGCCTGCTCTTTGAGTATATTCTTTCCCACATTCTTTACACTTGTAGGGCTTCTCTCCAGTATGAATTCTCTGATGTCGAGTAAGAAATGAATTACACCTAAAAGCTTTGCCACATTCCTTACATTTGTAGGGCTTCTCTCCAGTATGAATACTGTGGTGTAGAGTGAGGTGTACTCTTTGAGCAAATCCTTTTCCACATTCTTCACATTTGTAGGGCTTCTCTACAGTATGAGTACTCTGGTGTAGAGTAAGACCTGCTCTTTGAGTATATTCTTTCCCACATTCTTTACATTTGTAGGGCTTCTCTCCAGTATGAATTCTCTGGTGTTGTGTAAGGTTTGATCTTCGATTAAAAGCTTTGCTACATTCCTTACATTTGTAGGGTTTCTCTTCAGTATGAATACTGTGGTGTAGAGTAAGGTGTGTTCTTCGAGTAAATCCTTTCCCACATTCTTTACATTTATAGGGTTTCTCTGCAGTATGAGTACTCTGGTGCTGAGAAAGACCTGCAGTTTGTCTATATTCTTTCCCACATTTTTTACATCTATAGGGCTTCTCTCCAGTATGAATTCTCTGATGTTGAGTAAGATACGAACTACACCTAAAAGCCTTGCTACATTCCTTACATTTGTAGGGCTTCTCTCCAGTATGAATACTGTGATGTAGGGTAAGTTGTGCTCTTCGAGTAAATCCTTTCCCACATTCTTCACATTTGTAGGGCTTCTCTGTGATATGTATTCTCTGGTGTTGAGTAAGTTGTCCTCTTTTAGTAAAACTTTTCCCACATTCTTCACATATGTGGGGCTTCTCTCCCATAGGAATACTTTGGCATTGAGGAAGGGTTGAAAAATTCTTAATTTTTTTTTCACATTCCTTACATTTGTATGCTTCTTCACTGCTATGCCATCTCAGGTTTTTAGAAATTGTTGAGCAAATATTAAAGGATTTGCCACATTCTTCACATTTGTAGGATTTCTGTCCACTATGAATTCTGTGGTGCTTAAAAGAGGGTTGTTCTTGATTATAAGTTTTGCCACATTCTTTAAATTTGAAGTGTTGTTCACTGTTATGGTACCTGTGGTGTTTGAAAAGTGGTGTGGAATTCCCTGCTTGACCACATTTCTTAAATTTGTAAGGCTCCCTTCCAGGTTGAGCTCCACTATACTGAGAAAGACTTGTAGTTAGATAAGAAGGTCTCTCATATTCCTCACAATAGCAAGGCATCTCTTGGTACTGAGTACTTGGATGGTGATTTGGGCATTGAGAAAAGATATTCTCCCATTTCTCATTTTTGTAAATGTTCTGTGCACAATGACCACACTGATGTTCTCTTTTATTGCAACCAAAGCTAAAGTTGTTATGAGTTTTGCTACATTCATGCTTTTTCTCTCCAATGTAAGGGCACTGGTAATTGCTTAGCATAGAGACCTGGCTGAAGGTGTTGCTTGTTTCATCACATGTATTACATGCTTTCCAGAAACCTATATCTGAATTTTGATTAAGTAGTATGGAGTGCATACGGGCCTTTCCACAATCATTAAAAGTGTATGTTTGGGCAGAAGAAGAAATCTTTTGTTCATTGCAGAATGATGGAGAGATTGTAAAAACATTTTCAAAATCAGCACTTTCAGAAACTTGTCCTTCAGTTATAAATTGAATACTTTTGTGAGCTATTAAATCTTCTTGAGGACTGTGGATGGTATTAAGGACATTTTTATTAAGAATAGTCACTTCTAATTGGTCTTGTCCTTTATAATATGATTTCTGACCTTCACTGTTACCTACACTGTTCTGTATTTTCTTTTGTTGTAAATGGTCAAGTTTGCAATATTCATATCTTCTCTTTATCACTTTTATAAATAAATGCTGTCTGCTGGGTTCTGGTAAAATTTTCTGAGTATGATGAGAGGTCATGGCTGAAAAAATGCAAATAACAATTATTTTACATATTGGTCTGAGAATATACTTTACAAATCTAACATAAAATTATAGCTGTCAGGACATTAATATGGTGGCAGATTGAAAGTCATCATTACTCCATAAATATATGAACTAAATAACAATGGATAGACAAATTTTCTTTGTGAGAATTATCCAGTGTCTAAGATGAGTATACTATTAATGAGAGTATTATAGCAGAGGAAATTCACAGTATCCAAAGGAGTATATCACTAAAAAGTGTAATACAGCAGAGGAAAGGAAAGTATATTATTCACTACAGGCCTTCCTCCTTGAGAATTCACCATTGTACAATTAGTAAAAATTAACAAACTCCCTTCTTCTCTCTCAAAGGAAAAGGGAAATGTAAAATGTGAATATTTTTGGCTTTCTTGAGGACTGCCTGAAAACCACTTTCTGTCTATCATGAGAAAGACCTAGATATAAGAGATGTTGGATGACAATAACACAGACATTCAATAGGGGCAAAGAGTGTATGGTCTCAAAGGAGAAATATGAAAAAATCTTTTTAGTGGTAAACATACATCATACACACTCACACACACACACACACACACACACACACACACACACACACAATCCTATGTCAGTATTACCTGGATAAAGTCAACACATGGAGATCAAGACAAATGACTCAGTTTTTAATTTTTATAACTTTGGTTATTTATGAATTTATTTCATTTACAAATTAAATTGCATGTGTTTTCTAAGAATTTCATGGCATTTGAAAATATAAATAAATGATGGCATGACTAATTGTAGCTAAGGAACATTTTATATAATCATCATTTTAGTTCATAGAAAACATTGCATTCATTCTACTATCAAAAATATATACATTGGCCAGTGTGGTGGTACAAGCCTCAAATCCACACAACTCAGGAATCTGAGGCAGGAGGATCCCAAGTTCAAATCCAACCTGAGAAAACAAGTAATGCTGTGACTTAGAAAGACCCTGAATCAAAATAAAAAATAATAATAAAAGGGCTTGGGATGTGGCTCAGTATTTTAGTGTTTCGGGGCTCAATACTTCTTTTATCCTTTAAAATAATACATTGCGGTCTTTCACCAACACTCTGAAAACACAGGAGCTGGTAACCATTTTACTCTCTGTACTTCTGAGTTCCATATGTGAGTCAGATGAGGCTGCAAATTACTTTCTGTGGCTGCCTCATTTCCTGTAATTCAAAGTCCTGCATATTCAGCCCTTGTCACTTTAATTGACAAGATATCTCTTTTCTCTTGGTAATTGATTATGTATAAATACCATCTTTTTTACCCATCTAACCCCTGATAGGCACATAGGTGGGAGTCCATGTCTTGACTACTCTAAACAATGTCTGCACTGAAACAGTAGTGGAACTCTCTCTTCCACACACTGATTTATTGTCCTTATGATATCTATTTAGAACTTGCATTTCTGGATCATAGTGTCATTCCACTTTTAATTTTTTTATGTGTGGTTCTTAGGATAAAGCTCAAGGATGCTATACCAATGAATTACAATCCAAGGCCCTTTAAAATTGTTTGAGACATGGTATGACATGCCTCTTGCATGTCTTCCCAATTACTTGGGATTTCAAGCATGTAGCACTGTGCTTTCTATTTTTCAGTTCTTTACTAACTTTTATATTGTTTTCCAAAATGACTATTAATCTACTACTGGCTGGTTTTTATATGGACAAATCTAAAATTGTACAATACACAAAGAAAAATGAACACTTGGCTAATCAATGGAAAAAAAGTGAAACACAAGTAATTGAACATTAGGAAAGTAAGAGTTATGAATTATCCAAAGCACCTAAATAACCTTTTGAAATAATTTTAGTTTAGTGAACTAAGCAAGAACACAGAAAACTGAGAAAAGTTCAGACAAAAAGTCATTACTGTAAACAAGCAAAAATCATGTACTTGAAGACTTTCTTAAGAAATAGTGTCTGAGAGAGTCAGGGAGGGGGGGTGGGCACAGCTATAATCCTATCAACTTGGGCAGCTGAGCCAGAAAGATCACAAGTTTGAGGGCAGCTTCAGCAACTTAGTGAGACTGTCAACAATTAAAAATGAAAAGGGATGAGGCAAAGGGCGGTAGAAAGGCAACTGAGTTCAATCTCCAGTATCAATTTTAACAGCCTGAGAAATTATTAATAGGAGCAAAAAAAAAGAAGTCCAAATTAAAGAATCTAAATTATGTCTAAGTAGAAACAAACAAAAAGACTCAAAGTTCGTTGTTCTCAATTATTCAGTGGTCACAAAGAGAGAATCTTGAGAGCACCAAAAGAAAAATGTGCAACTAAGAAGTATACTTGAATATAATTATTAGTCAATTTGTTAATGGAAGCTTTGCAATACAGAAAAAAAGTGGGGAATAGCATCAAAGGGGTGACAAAACAAAATTATCAACTGAGAATACTATAATCAGAAATACTATACTTCAACATCAGTAAAAATAAAGACTTTAAATATGTATAAAGGCACCCAAACATTATGCCTACTTGACCTCTTTTTCAAAAAATACTAAAGTGAATTACTCATATTAAAAAAATAAAATAAGTGTACACAGCAACATAATGCATATGAAATTTTAAAGCTTTCTTACTAAGGAAAATTCATATACCAATATATAATTCAATTTTGCTGGACTAATGAGTCATAAAACTCTTTTTCAATAGAATTTGAAACATAAAAATCATCATAAACCTCTAAATATGTATGGAATATAAAAATAATTGTGTCATCAATAACATAATTTTCAAAGGATACATAAATAAATATATGTATTTTGTTATGAAATTGAAGTCAATTTGTTGCTAGTTAAAAACCTAGTGTAAGCTTAAAATTATTTTTATTAAAATATCTAAGTAAATGACAAAATACTCATAGAATGAAGGGAAGTGAAAGAGGAATCAATTAATGCCATGATAACAATACATGAAACACAAGATAACTCAATTAAAAAAGAATGGATAAGAATTATAAGAAGCAGAAGAAACAGATAAAAATTACAACTGTATGCAGATTGCCAGAGACTAAATCTAAAGGTGCAATTTGAAGGCAAAAGTGTATAAGAATATTACCCACAAAAGTGATCAGAAACTGGTTTGGAAATGATTATCATATGTGAAACTTACTTTAAAAGAAAAACTTAACAATGTATTTTATCTCAAATAAATAACAATGTATTTTATCTCAAATGTAATTTTATTGGCAAAAGAAACAAAAATAAAATAAAAAAGAAGCAAATATAATTGTATTGCCAATAGAAACAAAAATCAGACATAATTTAATTTCATCTTCTACTCCTTAATTTGTGAAATATTGGAAATAGCCATAGAATTATAAAATGTAGGTTAAAAAATGGGAAAATTAAACTGATGTGAGGAAACCTACATTATAACTTGAAATCTACTGTATAAAATAAAATACAGAAAAGAAAACAAAAATTTAACCAACAAAATTCTAAATAAGCATGGTTTACAATACTTTTACATAACTGTAGTTTCCACCTGTGTCCTTGTAATTAAAATGAGCAGTCATTGTGAAACACCAACATACACTCTATGGCAGAAAAGTTAAACAGAGTATTCATTATAAGTATACCTAATGAGCTCTGCTAAGGGAATTTCAATTAATAAAAACAGTTTAAGGATATCAGAGAAACTGCTTTCTGATACTAATATATTACAATGAATTCACCTAGAGGTCTCCAGAAATGTGCACAGATTTAGGAGGGACACACCAAATAATGGAAATGCCTTCAGATCATGCTGACCCTCAAAAGCAAAGGGGAGTGTTTGGACTGTTAATTTAACTGAACATAGACATCAATTGGGGAGAAGGAGGAGACTAAAGAGGGACCCATGCTCAACATAGGACAGTAGATGTCTTTCTAGGACAGCACAAGAATTAAACCTAAGCACGTGAAAGACCAATTCTGTGGCATAATAACTTCTCCACCAATATTTGAATTTGGCTTCCTCCTTGCCTTTGGACCTCTCAATTGTGTTCTCTGTTTCATGAATTTCTACCCATCTGGGTATATAGCTCAAGGCTCTCTCCTTTGCACCAGGGGAGGGTGTCCAAATACAGCTTAGAGGCAAATGTTCATTACAAATTGAATTGACTGTTTGTTGGAATTATCACTGAGAGTATTGATGCTTCTATTCTGGTACCACAGATGGAAGAAATTGAATTTTGACATGTAGGTCACATCATTCTATATCTCTGAATTACTGTAAGTACCACAAATTTTAAGTGAAGAGTATATATCACTTCAAGAAAGGGAAGGATTAAAAACTAAAAGAAATGGCTTAAACATTTTCTTCTCTGTAACAAAAACTGCCCAAGCCTTTTTCTTGAAAGCAAGAATCTGAAACTCATTCATGAAGAGAAGAAGTTCCCAGTAGAAATTCTGTGAGAAGAAAAAATTATACAATTAGGAATAATGATTCATTAGAAATTCTGAAGGGTAGCTCTACTCACCCAGGAAGACCAAGTTTCTGTAGTTCTCTAACATCACATCTCTGTATAAATTCCTCTGAGCAGGCTCCAGGTATTCCCATTCCTCTTCAGACAAATCAATGGCCACATCCCTGAATGTCAACAGTTCCTGAAACAAGAATAGGTAAATTAATAGTACATTGACCATTTGATAATTCACAGAGCTTGTACGTTTGCTGAAGATGAAATGAGCATTAGGAGAACTGACTCTTAACCAGTGATTTCTGAGGGACACACCAAATAATGGAAATGATTTATTATTCAAGAAAATACTTTGTAACAGTGATATTCTGTCATCAAACTCTGAGGAGAGAGTGTCACAAGTTCACAAAAAAAGTTTTATACTCCAATTTTATAAAATAAATTGTAAAATTGAGGTAGCAACAGAGAATATATACATTTTAATTGTGATTTTATATATCATAAGATAAATTATCTATTTCTCAGAGAAGAAAATTATGGTGGAAAAGTAGGGTGATTCTAAAATTTTAAGTGCACAACCATGAACCAGAGACTTACTAAAATGAGGTTAATGTCTGTGAGCTGCAGGTAGAATAAAATGAATGCCTACAGGACTGTGGTCTATTTCTAGAGAGCCACGGTCTGCATTAAATAAAAGGCAGGCAGAGGCGAAATTCCCCAAAGCAAGCCACAAAAATAAAAATTATTAAGGGGCTGGGGCTGGGGCTCAGTAATAGAGTGCTTGCCTAGCATGTGTGAGGAAATGGTTTCAATTCTCAGCACCACATTAAATAAATAAATAAAGTCCATCTACAAAAAAAAATTAAAAAATAAAAAATACTAAGAAAGAAGAGTTTCTTGATCAAACATGAATGTTTATGTAGATTATTTTAAAAATCCTACCAAAATATCCAAAGACAAAGAAAAAAATTACTGTATAGGGAAAATGTGGCAGACAGCATTCACACCAAGCAAATAAGGTTAAAAGAGTTGTAGAAAAAATAGAACAGATTGATACAAAGTGTCAATCAACATAAAAGGACACATCAACATTGCTGTGATATCTGTAGCCAAATCAAAACTAAATGACATAATAAGTATTTCAGCAGACTTTCCATGGCATTGTAGAGATTGAGTCTCTTCTAATCATTCTGTTCTTTTAGGACTTACTTTGTTCTTAGGGGCAATGAATGTGCATTTTATTAAGTTTTCTGTATTTATAGATAGTGGAGCATCCAGATGGAATGTAAATAAAGCAGGGTTCACTTCTTCAGCAAATCTAATGACCCAGAAACATCCCCAATGGGAATCTAAGATACCAAGACAATCCAATGTCCATTTATCAAAAAGAAAACCTTTTGAATCTCGCAGGTCACATATGCCTGGCCTGGCTTTGATGAAAGTGAAAGAACAGAGGACTCCTGATAAAGGGGGGACATGTGCACCATATGTTTTAAACAGAGTTCAAGTTGAATGTTGTGAGAAGAAAGTGAAGCAAAGTGGATTTAAACATGTTAAACATAATACTGGAACAGTGGAGAAGTAATAGTCTGCATGTTCCATAGTAGTTTGAGAAGAAAATTCAAGTGTGCAAGATTAGCAAGACACCAGAAAACTAAAACTAAAGAAACCCTACAAAGAAATGGTTAAAAATAAAAAGAAAGAAAGTCTTAACATAATCCTAATGGGATAGCAGTGGGAAAAGTAGGTTATACAAAACTCAAAAGTAGTACAATCAAGCAAAAATATAAAAAATGATTCTAAGAAATACATGGTAAGATTATGAGCAAAAAACGTGGATGTGTAATCGATGTGATTCTGCAATCTGTATACAGGGTAAAAATGGGAGTTCATAATCCACTTGAATCAAATGTATGAAATATGATATGTCAAGAGCTTTGTAATGTTTTGAACAACTAATAATAATAAAAAAAGGAAAAAATGATTATGAGCAATGACTAAATAAACTGACTTGGTTTTTCTTTCTGTTTTCCCTTTATGTTTCTCTAACCATGGGGAAAATTAGGTCAGAAAAGACACACAGAACATGGAATGTGGCAGAACATGCAGCAGGTATTAAATCCTAAAAAATGACCAACTGAATTCATTGACCCATCCTTGCTATTCTTCTACAGCATCATATTAGAGATTCACCCTTCCTGATTAGGGCATGGTGGTGCACAGTTGTAACCCCAGCAGGGGATTACAATTACAAAACAAACATTTTTAATGTCTGTTTTCTGCAACAGAAAACAGGAAGTTGAGGCAGGAAGATCAAGAATTCAAATCCAGGTTCAACAACTTAGAGAGGCTCTAAAAAGTTTGGTGAAACCCTGTTTAAGATAAATGTAGAAAGGGGCTGAGGATGTGGCTCAGTGATAAGTGCCCCTGGATTCAATCCCTAGTACTCAGAAAAAATAAAAATATAAAAAGTCTCCCTGCTGATTATAACTTTGATGATTACCTCTATGTTAACTATAACCATCCAAACAGTCACAAACAAATAATTGAACAGTTTGCTCTTAGTGGACAGAACAAAATATTTGTTAACTTAATATTGGCTTTAATTTCCCTCCTGCCTCTAGCCCCATTGAGACTGACTGACCTCAGCCCCAGCCAACACACACTCTTTTTCTGTCCCCTTCTAAGTACATGCTGGCTTCATGGTAAAGCATTCTTTGATCTTATATCTGAATTTTCTTTTGTTGGTGGTTTTACTGGGAATTAAACTAAAGGGCACTTTAAAACTTAGCTATATCCCCAACTCTTTCTATTGTTTTGACCTTTCATGGTTTCACTAAGTTCTCCAGGCTGACCTTGAACTTGTGAGCTTCTGGCCTACATGTCTGTGTCCCTGGGACTACTGGCATCCACTACATTGCCCAGCTTGATCTAAACTTTCTATTCTTCATCAACCCCACCCACTCCCACCTGCCAGGTGTTCCATTTGCTTCTCCCAAGGAATGTGTCAGGGTCCTCTTCATGCTTTGAACATAACCCTTGCTCTCTTCCACTGAGACTTATTTTAAAACTGACTTGGTTTTTTCTTTCTGTTTTCCCTTTATGTTTCTCTAACCCTGGGGAAAATTAGGTTAATCTACTTTGTGTGTTAAGTCAGAACTTAAGCCAGGTTATATGTCCTTCAGCTCATGCTCCACAGGAACCAAGAAATATAGACTTTACAGCTGGCACTGGAAGTTCTAAAAAATATCTCTCTCAAGGCTAAAAGGGAATTATGACTCCTGACAGCACACAGCCTGTGGGTAGACTTTGAGTCACTACTTTGAAACCTCTATTCACTGGCCATTGGAATCACAGCTTTGTCCCCTCTATTTTTCTTTTGGTAGCAAAGCAATAAAACTTTCTTTTTCTCAAAACTTTTTTCTCATTATTGGATCAGGACTAGGGATAAGGACCAAGATTTTGCTATCAGATTTAGTCACCATGAAGAAAACTGAGAGTGCCCCTCCAGCCTTCTCAGGCAGGCCTGGCACTCAGAGCAACCCCACTTCCACACTGAGGATGCAAGGTGCTGATTAATCCAATGACAGCTGAGTCTGGAGAATTAGACAAATTAGTGCATTTGTCTCAGGTTGTCCTGGATGAAGGGTAATTGTAAGTAAAGGAAAGGTCTGATGGGTCTTTCCAGGAGCTGCCAAGGATACTTGGCTTCAAGGACCTCTTGTCTTCTCTTCATGAATAGTGTGGGTTTTTCTAACATGGGTCTACTCTGGGAAAAGGAAAATGAATGCAATGAAATCATGCCAACGTGGACATCTGGCAAGCTCCTCCTGTGTGCACACTGAGACCCTGGAGTCTACACATCAGGTCCCCTACAGGGGAACATCTGGTCCCTCTGTTTGTGGACATCTATGGCACAATTGGTGTCAGAGTTCTGGTAAAATAGCAGCTGGGGACCTAAGAGATGTTTCCCCAGCTAGTCTTTTTTAAGGGGTTCCTTCTGTTGCCCCTGGTTGGGGGATCCACTCTGGTTGTCTCTTTTTTTTGAACTGAATGTCACTGGCCCTTTAACACATAGACAATAGTGCATTGATCCCACCTGTAGACTCTTGGAAACAATCCTGGCTGAGTGGGCCACAAATAGATATAATTCTGCCTAAGGAAAAGCTGATGTTTTACTGTATCAGGCCACTGAATGACTTTCTGAATTGTTATATAATTTTGCTACTGGAATTAGTCTGTCAGAGATAGGTAAATGGAAGAAATTCTACATAGGCAGGTATCCATGCAGTTACATAAGGAGTCCAACTGGCCTAAGACTAAGTTCATGGTATAACCCTCCTGTGTGCAAGAATAGCAAGACACCAGAAAACTAAAGTTTGCCCAGCACTGTTTCTTAGCCCAGTTCCAGGCATCTGCTGAACATCCCACTGTGGGTCAGAAAAACCAGGCTTATGTCAGAAGATAATTTCCAGAAAAGCTGCTGGGGTTTAGAGAAGTAAGTGAAGATGACTCGGACTGTGCCCTGCCTTCAACCTCCTTTGCCCAACCTGGGGAAAGAGACATAAAAGAACATAGCAGTGGCTGTTGAAACTTCTGTATTATGACTTGAGACAGGGATGGTCTCCTTTTCAGGTTTACAGGACATTCCACTTGCTCAGGGTACACTCAGCAAAGGGGAAGAGCTATTATTCCTATGAAAATATCCCATCAGCCTAAATTTACAGGAACATGGACAAGATAAACAATGGCAGAAAGAAAAACAGCTGTGGAGAAAAGCAGATGGCCATAGTAGAGAGAAATCTCCAGCCTCACAGGCTCTGGACAAAAGCATCAGCTAAGTTCTGGTTAAAAAGGCCAAAGGCCCTGGGCTCCCCAGGCTTCACTGCAGCCACACCACAAGCACAGAGCTCATGACCATGTGGAGATAGATAGGAGCCACTTGTTGGCTTCAGAGCCAGGTCCAACCTCCAAGTCCTTGTCAACTGAGGCCAGGGAAGTTGAGGAGAGGAGGTATGGTAAAAGACAGTCCCTGGCCACGTACCTAAAGCTCTCTTTTGTTTTAATTGGGACTTAGAGTGTTTTCTGAGGCAGCTCCCCATAACAATACCCACTTCCTTTCCATCCCTCCCCTTTTCCCCTTTGCCCTATCTAGAGTTCATCTAATCCTTCCATGCCCCTCCCCAG